GGCACTAACTGGTAATCAGGAAATGTGAAGCAGTGGTGTAGGGGGTCAGAGAACTGGAAGAGAACTTTCACCATGTCTTCTTCAATGTTGGAGTTGACCAAGTTGAGAAGTCGACCATGTCTTTCAGTAAATGGAGAATACTCTAGAATCTTGGAAGTAAGCTCCTTGTGTTGAGGAGGAACTCTCACAAGGTTGACTTGGATTATTTTCCCGTTGAGTGATTCCATAACCTACAAAACAGGAACAAAGATGAAGATCCAAACCCTTGAAATGGTTAGCGGATGCACATGATGCTTCACGATGTTCATGATGTTATGCACAAGTATATGTACAAGCAAGTCACACAAGTTCCTAGTTTAGGCTTGCATGGGGTTTCATAGGTAAGTACCCTCTTGAAGTTTAGTTGGCTCAACCTGTCCTATAAATAGTAATCGGGTTCTAAGGAGCTCAATATCACCAGATTATTTTCTGTGTTCATTGTTTCAGTTTAGCCACTTTACTGGCGACCAAAATATTCCAAGAAAACAACCCTCAATGAGTGTAGTATCGAGTATCTACCAACTTCGGACTGCACCAAAGCCGGTCATCTCACTACCCCTAAAAAGGCCAAGATGGTCAAGTAAAGGTTCTAAAAGTCCATTAGTGCTTCATGACATCACTCAGCAGCCCCGTATTCTCTTTGATTGACTCAAAGGCTACCGGTACCCACAAATATGTCACACTAATATAGTTATTGCTTCAACCATGTCGGTATACCCCGCACAGTTTCCACAATGTATTGCTATTTACCTATGAATGTTTCCCAAATCCGGGTAGAGGATTCAAACCCAAACAATAGAACCAAATGTAAAGCAATAAAAGCAATCAAGGTAAGTATGTAAAGGTGATCTAAACCCTAAGGTAACCCCACTTTTAGAATTCTCCCCAGCAGAGTCGTCAGTTCTGTGATACGGTGGGAGAACTGACTTGAGGTTTTGCGTTTGTGTTCGCAAATATTTTGGTTTAGCAAGAGTCGCCACCGACTTTTTATTTTATCCAAAGGAAAGGTCAAAAAGCACAGGAAAGACCATTGAGATGTTTTCTTGGGTTCGGGGGGTAGATTATGAAAAGGGAAGGTACTATCACCCTTTTCATCCATGGTTTTCCATGGGCTCTTAGTTACTTGTTTAGATCACTTGCTTTTGCTTTTCAATTGTTTGAAATGGTGCTTTATGTATGGTTTTGAAAATATTTTGAAAAGAGGACTTGTTTAGGCAACCTTTGTAATGATTCTTGTTTGAATATATACAAAGGTGTTTGTCTTTTGAAAATATGTTTCAATGTTTGAAAGTTTGTTTTGGGAAATGTTTTAAAATGTGTTGTGTGTTTTTGAAAATAGCAAGGATGTTTGCAAGTTTGATCAAGTAACTAGGAGCATCTACCTACCTACTCAAAGATCTTTCCTACACATTTTAACCCTTTGACATTGTTGTTTTACCATTGCATTTGGTAAACAACCTTGTGTTTGGATGTTAAACGGGACAGGCGTGGGTCATCGTATGATCATGATAGCAATGTTGCCAAGTATCTTAGCAAGTTTTTTGAGGGACTAGATCATTTTGTATAGGCAACCAAGATAGCGTCATCGAGGGACTATGATCTTTTGTTTTTGTTTTTGTTTGCCAAGATACCTAGCATGCATACCATGGCCATTTTTAAGGCAACAAGTGGGTGAAACCCTAGGGGTGCTTGTGTGTATTGTGTTGTCATTTTTCATGCATTTTTTGTCTTGTATTAGTCAAGCTATTTGTTTGATTTTGAATTTTTGCATACAAATCCTAATCTTTCTATCATGGCATATTTGAAAGCTATAAAGTGCGTAAAAGTAAATCTATGACTATTACAACATTGATATGGGGAGGCGGATACAAGTTTGAATAGGGGGATATTTGCAAGAAAATAAACCCTAAAGACTATTACAACCATGTTGAATTATTGTACAAATTGACAAATATTTAAATATGCAATTAAACATAAATATGCAAAAAGGTTTTTTGTATTCTTTTTATGTATGTAAAAATAAATTATTTAATGTCCTGAAAATAGGAAAAATATTAATGGTTATTTTTGGAAAGGGTAATAAACCCTAATTTTGGTTTAGGAAAATATATATATTATAATTATTTATTTATGTACAAGAAATAAATAAAAATATATATACAAAAAATTAAAAAAAATTTAAATGTGTGAGAAAAATATTATTTAAGTATATAAATAATAAAAATAAAAATATATAATATTTTTGTATTATTTATGAATTTATTTTAAGAAAATAAAAGTATATTATTATAGTAATTATTTCTATGTCCAAAAAATAATTAAAAAATAATAAAATAAAATGTGAAAATTTAAGAAAATATTTTTAGTGATTTTTTATATTTAGAAAAAATAATAAAAGTCAGAAATGAAAATAGAAATGAAAAATATAAAATAATAATGAAATGAGCCAAGGGGGTGTAAACAGCAAGCTAAGGGGTGCAAATAGCAAGTCAAATCAAGGCCTAGCCCAGATTCCTTCATCCCTGTCCTCCAACACAAGAAAACGCGCGCCCACGGTTCAAACTACTAACTCCTGCATTTGTGCTTAAAAATAAAAACTTGCAACATGAAAGTTATAGCTCTTGATCACACGATTCTAACCATGTAAAAAACTTAATCTAACTCTCAAAGACCAGAGAGAATTTCTCTGGCCCTAATTTCTAACCTAGTTTTTTCAGAAAGTTCATCATTCAAATTCTCCCAACTCAGTTAACTTAAATGAATTATATGTATATGTGCAGCTCAAGGGCAATGAGGACTACATTTTTTATTCACAAACCTAAGCCTAATGATTCCTAAATAGAGAGATAGAATTTTGAATTTTACCTGTTTCAGTCAAGCTCGAGTATGGTAATGTAGGGGTTGTGAGTGAGGCTCGAGATACTTGTGAGCTTGCTTGAAGTTCCTTTGAGCTTTCCCAATGTTTAGCCTGCTTTGAAATAGCTTGAATATGCTTGTAGAAATCAACCTGCAAAGTCAGAATTTGAAAATAGTGAAGTGTGTAAATGGAGTTACAGTGACTTGGGAATGGTTGGGATAACTTAGGTATGTTGTATGAAGTGTGTTGGAACTGGTTGCAAGCAAAACGCACGAGTGGATTGTGATTTGGCTTATGATTTGCATATCCTGCCCTGTTTTGGCAGAAAATGGGGTTTTTGGTGTACAAGGGTGTTTGAGAGGTTGCTAGCTCGTGTTTTTGACTTAGTATAATGTGTTCAAGTTGGTTCAAATGTTCACAAGCTTTGGTTTTATCAGATTGCAAAGATATGGACTTTTGGCACAATGACTTGGTTTTGAAGCAAAAGGTGATTTTGACAATGCAAAGGCTTGTACAATCTAGCTTAGGGTATGCACATAGTTGGTATACTTTTCCCTATCTTTGTGGATATGGTTTACTGCAAAAGATTAATTCCAATGCTCAAGACAAACAAAAATGCAAAAGTTGTGCTTTATGTAAATGACATTGTTGCCCTTTTGCCAAAAATGGATTAATTCAATGTGTAATCTTCTAAAGCTCAGAACAAAGCCTTAATCCATTGTGTTTGCATTCAATTTTTGAGTGTGGAAGGGTTTAAGGACCTGTAAACAAGTACAAACATGTTTGGACAGAATTTGCAACTTGTAGCAACATGAAAAATGCCATGGACAAAAGTGAGAAATGGCCATTTTCAATCCTTGGATTCTCCCTAACCACAAATGATTTTGGAGAGTTCTTGGACATTTTGGAAATATTGTAACATTCTCTAAAATACATCTTTGAAATTCATTTTGAGATTCCACTTGGAACTATCTGAAAAATTGCCATGAAGATAGGTCAAAATCCTGCCTAAACTAGGGCAAAATTTCACTAAGTTAAAAGTTTTATGGACCCTTGTTCACAAAATCATAACTTGAGATCCAAGAATATTTTGGGAAAATTTTGTGAATCAAAGTTGTAGATTTTGTGTAGGAATACAACTTTCATGTTGGAAGTTTTCTTTGAATCCAATTGCATCATGGTGAAAAAGTTGGGCAAAGTTGGGAAAAAATGAGAAGTTTTTATAACTTAGAAAATTTCTAAGTTATGAAAATTTTCCATTTTAAACCCTAATCTTCTAAATTAGGTTTCTTGGTGAACAAGTTTCATGTTTTAACACATCTTGATGAAAAATGACCTTTGACACTTGATTTTGACCAAAAAGTCAAAGTTTGACTTTTCAGTGTACAGTTGATTTTTGATTAGTTGATTGGAAAATTCATCTGTCAATCCAATGCTTTTGAGATCTTTTGAACCTTGTGATTAGGTCAAGATGATTCCATTGAGTCCTTGAATCCATGCTTGAACCGAATTTTCTATTGGCTAGGTGAAAAATCAGAAATTGCCCTTCTGTAGTCAAAACCCTAAAAATGACCATTTTGCCCTTTTGATGATCTGATCAAATTTCTCGAGGAATTGTGGTCCAAACTTGATCAAATGGTTCATATGAGCCTATAATGTTGATGTGGGTCATAAATTATGAGGTTTGACTGTAAATTGGCCACATTTGACTTTTCCCCAATATAGTTGATTTCTAGGTCAATTGTCCAATTGACTGGGCAAAAATTTGATTCAAGGATTGAAACTTGGTATGAGCAATTTTATAGGTAAACATGAAGTATGAAAGTCACATTAGGCATTGGAAGTCCAAAAATCCCTGTGCAAACTCAAACCCTAATTTCAGGTCAACAGTGCAAGGAGATGTCTTGAGCAGAGCAAACCCTAATCCTGTCTGGAGTCCAAAGAGTCTTGTGAGGAAAAATCTTGATAAAAATGAGAGGGCAAATTTTGGGGTACAACAAACATATATATGGATTCAGCTGAGAAGAGACTCAATGAGAATATTTTCGAATTTTCGAATTTCTTAAATTTAGTATATATTTCTTTGAATGAATACGCGATTCATATGATTAAGAGCTTTTCCTACCATATAATACTGAGATGGGTTCAGGAAGAGGAAGAATGTGTAAAAGAAAATAATGGAAATGCATTGAAGTTCATAATTTTAGACATGACATGTAATGATTTCATCGCTCTAACATCAATTAGAGTTTAACAATCATGCACTATCGATCGACTTTGAACATCTTTGCTTAACAATATTTTGTTCTTTCAGCTATTACAACAATAGACACAAGTGGACTTGAAAATTTAGGTGAACTTAGAAATATACTCGAAAAGAGATCACTTCAGGTACAAACACTAATTGACATTGATTTCATACGGCCTAAAAAAACTTCGATTATTCGCTTTCTAACATATTATAATTTGCTACTGCAGTTTGTGTTGGTAAATTCTATTGGAAATATGATGGAAAAGTTACATATGTTGAAGATTTTGGATACCTTTGGATTTAAAGTAGTATATCTCACAGTAGGAGAAGCTTTGGTTGATATTTCGACACCAGAGAAAGCTGAACCTTGTCTGATATATCTAGACTATACCTGCCATCTATTATTTCTGTTTTGGTTAACATGTAACAAATTTTAGTATGCAATTCCATTATCCATTATAGCATTTGGATTATCAATTTACCATCTCCCTTTAGTACATTCTGACTTAGTTTACTTGCATGAAAACATCAGAACATACTATGCTGAGACAACAGACAATGTGTCAGAGGTGTAGAGCTAGACTGCCGCAAAGGGTTACAGGTCGTATGCGGATCGCATGGTGGTACCGCGGTCATGAGGTTTTCTGATTGGAGTCAGAGGTTGTCAGTTGCGGTTCAGAATGTGTGGGTGGTGCGAAAAAATGTGATGTAATCAGAAGGTTTGGTCTCATGTCTTTGAGTTTTTTTACTTATTTTTTGGTTCTGAAATCTTAAGGTTGTTGTTGGTTCTACAAGTTTCATGTTATGGATTTTATGGGGATAAGAGGTTGATTGTTGATTCAGTTTTATGCAGAACTGAATGGGATCTGCTTCTTAATATTCCGATTTCTATATCAGCTAATCCCGAAAGTCCATACGTGTTTATATGGGGGTGTGACCCTTTGGAATTCTCTGTAAAATCAGCATTTTGCAGACTGATTTCTCTGGTTCAACATGATTTCATTCCAAACTCGACCACGACAAAATCTTTGAATTATGTTTCAAAAGTGAATATATAAAGCCTCATATTTACATTCATGTGTTGAAACTGTTAGAATTTGACATTGCTAAAAGTTAGAACAAATGAGTGATAGATTAGAGAGGTTTATATTTGTGATATTAACATAAAAGGTATTGTTTTAAGGGATTGAAGTTTGTTGCTCACACAATGAGATCTGACTTTATGTTTTTGCTTTGGTAATGGATGATGATGAGTTTCATTAAATAAAAATCAGTAGTTATTTACTTTTATGAAATCAATAGCGTTTTTCGTCCAACTTGAGTGTTGTTTGGTATGTCCATTGTGTTCGGAGTTTTTCTTGGTGGATCGCCCGTATCGGTAGTAGGCTGGAAGGAGGAAGCATGTTGTCACGTTCTGATATAATTCTTCAGTATCTCGCAGTGTGGTTCGGTGTCACGTTTTGTTTGTTTCTTTCTTGTATTCTTTCCTATTTTAATATACTATTTTGTATCATTTAAAATTAATTATATAAAGTGATGATTTGGGTGTGAGTATAATTTGGATAAAAACAAATATTTGAATATGGCCATAACAATATTTCTCGCAGCAAATTTTAATCAAGTAGTCTTTGTCTTATTGATCACTAAACAAAAAAAAGTGAAGTTTAACTTAATATTAATGTGTAATCATTTTACACTTATATGTGTTTGTTTAAAGGAAAATTTGTAATTTCGGAAAAATTATTCCCTGGAACAATATTACTTGAAATTTTGTTCTTGTCTATGTTTTTGGTAACCAATTGGAATTTATTAGAATATTTAAAATATATTTAATTTATTTTTTAATAAATAAATATAAAAAGAGTTAAACTAATTTAAAGTGAGAGGTTATGGGTGATTATCTCTTATTTTCATAGGAATGTAAGATTCTCATTCTTTTTACATGAGAATAAAAAATATCAAATTCATGAGTAAATTATATTCTAAAGAATAAAAGATATCTGGGTATAATTTGAGAAAACATGAAACAAATGTTGGAATATGATTTCTAACCTCATACATTCTTGAGAATAAAATTCAAATCCATGAAACAAACACACAATACATCTTAGAACTTGAAATCACAAGGTTGGTGAATAATTGAGTAATTGAGTGTGAAAATATGGTGATAAATTCATTCATAAGATACTTCAAGAGTATTTATACTCCATACATGATGATGTACAGTTAACTAACAAATAAAACTGAAAACTTTCAGATTAATTGGTTGACATATTATCTCAAAATTTTGATTCATGAAGTTATTTATAAAAAATATTGAATATTAACGGGAACATGAAGTTACTGATGAAAATATTGAATATTAACGAAAATACAAAGTTACTAATCAAAATATTGAATATTAACGAGAATATAAAGTTACTGATAAAAAATATTGAATATTAACGAAAATATGAAATTATTGATCAAAATATTAAATATTAATGAGAACATGAAGTTAATTATCAAAATATTGAAAATTAACGAGAACATGAAATTATTAATCAAAATATTAAATATTAACGAAAATATAAAGTTACTGATCAAAATATTGAATATTAACGAAAATAAATTACTTATCAAAATATTAAATATAATAGAAACATGATATTAATGATCAAAATATTAAATAATAATAAAATAATTTCACCATTGACTTAAATATTTTTAATAATAATTTCAAAATAAAAATAATTTCAAAATATTAAATAATAATAAAATAATTTCACCATTGTCTAAAAGAATTATAGACACTGATTTATTTTTTATTAAATATACGTTGGTACGGGTATCCCTACTAATTTCTCATAAATGAGATGGTCGTAATAAGTTACACCTAAAGCAAAATTGACGCGTACGCTACGCAAGTGCCGGGCCGTAGGTGTAACTGCTAAACCCCGTACTTTGATAGCTATACCCCAAACATAATCAATACACACCTAATCTTTCTTCATCAAATTTTAATAAATGATCCTACCATTTCTACTTTTCTGTCTTAAATGTAGCCATTTACACCTATTTTGAATAGGGAAAAGTTATTTTTCACACCTCTCAGGTGTCCCACACTGTATTTAGATACGGTTGTGGTTTATAATATTTTTTATTTTTTTTATTCTAAACACTTCTATCATATAAAAAAACTAATAGGAGATCCGTCCACCCGGACGGGTAAATTCATATCTTAAGATATATAATATAGTATAAAAGAAATTTAAAATTTTTAACATTTCAAATGAAAGAAATTGAATTAAGATTCACAAAATATAATAGATGTGTATTGATACATTCATGTATGATATAAAAGAAAAAAATACTGCTAACCAGTAATGTCTCAATTCTTAAAGAAAAATATAACAACAATAATAAAAAGTGTATTTGAAATAACTTGAAAACAAAATGACACAATATCTCCATGTTTTTTATAGACTCTTGAAAAGAATAGAAATATAAGAATAAGAATAATTTTAATATAATGATACTGCTATTGAAATGTAAAAGATAAATCCGAAAATGTTGTTGTTTTTGAAACAATAATAAATATGAGTGTACATGAGCACATATACCTTAATGTTTCTTAGAATTACATTTTTAATTGTTATTGTGAAACATCATCCTTGGTAGTTTAATATTATATGAAGATTGTAGTAAAAAATAATAGAACAGTAGTATTATAAATGACAACTATATATAACAGTAATAAATGTATAAATATGAAACAGTGGTTGAGCATGAAAGAGAATACCTATACAACATTGTGGAAAACTTCTTTGAAAATCATATTTATGTTAGAATAAAGTTTGGTTCTAATCATATCTTAGAGTTTTGATGATAACAATGAAATAAATTTTGTATAATATATTTTATACTCTGATGTGCATGTTTTCTAATTCAGATGATGTTCTAACTCAAACAATTCTCAAAAGTGAAACATCATTCTACGCTGAGCAGAAAAAGGATAAAGAAGTTCCTAAGAAATTTAATGTAAACGCAAGTCTGAAGCAAACTCTGAAGGAAGCACTCCAAGGCAAACTCTGATAAAAAATAATCTTAAGCAACCTCTGATAAAGCTATCTGAAGCAAAGATTTGAAAGAAGCACGCTGATAGCAATATCTGATAATGCAAGTTGAAGCAAACTCTGATAAACATAAAATGAAGAAAACTCTGACAGAAGAAGTGATATAGCAAATTTTGATAGAAGAAAAGTTAAAGCAAACTCTGATGTTGCAACGCTGTAAGTAAACTCTTAAACTTCCAGAGACAGGCTCTGACAGTACCGTTGATCATTTAATGCTAAGACGGAAAACGCACTCAAGTGGTACTATACACGAGAGCATTGGAAACATAAAGGTCAAGCTAACATGCATCATTAATGCATACTCTCTCTTCAAGGCAGTAACGGTCAAAATTTGAAGCTATATATAGAAGACCATTTGTTACAAAGCAAGGTTACTGATCCACGCAAAATATATTGAAGCTCGCTATTTTCATTCTTGTAAACTTTTTGTATATAGTGGGTAATTCTTAAGTACTGGGCTAAAATCTTAGTGGTAAATCACAGTTTGTGATATAGCTTATTAGAAGTATTCTGATTCAATATTGTTAAGAGATAATCTTTGTAATTATTCCTTGAGAGACCAGTTGGGTCAAATTTCTCAAGAGGGCTAGGACTAGTTGAGTCTTAGAGGTGTTAGTCACTTGCAGTTGGCCTGTGCATTATATTGTTAGTCACAATAGTTTGGTTGTGCATTTGTAATCAGTTTTGATTATAGTGGATTAAGTCCTCGTTGAGAGAGGCGAAATCACCTTGGCGGGTGGACTGGAGTAGTTTGAGTTTCAAACGAACCAGGATAAAATTACCTGTATCCTTCCATTATTATTGCGCGAGAAAAAGGAAAAACTTATTCAACCCCCCCCCCCTTCTAAGTGTTTTCTCACCCTTCAATTGGCATCAGAGCTCTAGTTATGGGTGTAAACACCTAACAATGTTAGAAAAAGATTCAGAAGGAAAACACTATAGCAACTGAACAAAACAACAACAATTGCACCAAACCTCCTGTGTTTGATGGAGAAGACTTCGAATACTGAAAGGATAGACTAGAAAGTTTCTTTCTAGGTCATGATGCTGATTTATGGAATATGGTCCTAGATGGTTACACACATCCAGAAGACAAAGACGAAAACAAGATTGACAGAAAGAACATGGATAAACAACAGAAATTAGATTTCAAAAATCACCACAGAGCCAAAAGTATCTTTCTGAACGCTATCTCTAAAACAGAATATGAGAAAATCACCAACAGAGATACAACACATTACATGTTTGAGTATCTCAAAATGACTCATGAAGGCAATGCTCAAGTAAAAGAGACAAAAGCTCTGGCTCTCATCCAGAAGTATGAAGCCTTCAAAATGGAAGAAAGTGAGCCCATTGAAGCTATGTTCTCAAGATTCCAAACTCTGACCGTTGGCCTGAGAGTTCTGAACAAAGGATACACCAAGGCAGACCATGTTAAGAAAATTATCAGAAGTTTACCCAGAAGACGGGCACCTATGGTTACTGCATTCAAAGTGTCAAAGGATTTGAATGATGTATCTCTTGAAGAACTTATCAGTGCATTAAGAAGTCACGAGATAGAACTTGATGAACATGAGACTCAGAAGAAAGGTAAGTCTGTCGCCCTTAAATCTATTAAAAAATGTGAAACTAACGCTTTTCAGGCAGAAGAAGGAAACTCTGAAGACTCTGCATCAGAAAAAGATGAGTTATCTCTGCTCTCCAGAAGGATCAACTAGATGTGGAATTACAGACAAAAGAAGTTCAGAAACTACAAGAGGTCGGAAGATAAACCATAATCTTCTGGACATAAGAAGTCAAGTAGAAGAGATATAGTCTGCTATGAATGTAAAGAACCAGGACACTACAGAAGTGATTATCCTAAGCTACAAAGAGAAAGACCAAAGAAAAGGTTTGGAAGAAAGAAAGGCATGATGGCCACCTAGGATGATTCAGAATCTTCT